TTAAAGTGTGATGCAGTTTTTTTTAAATATAAAACAGTACACAAGTCTCAAATTCCCCATCATCTGATTATAAAAGACTGTTCTGCTCCAATTCCATTTGGCAACTGTTTTAGCTTCCATGTGGCTGCTATAATTAAACCTAGAGTAAAAACTGCAAAGAAACCACTGTAACTTGTGCATGGCATGACCAATTGTGTAATGCAAATGCCACTTTGCCGGCTCCAGTTTGAGATAAAACAGCCATAGCTTGTCAGGCCACGAAATGGCATTCCACCTCAATCATCATTTCTTAAACTCTTTCACAGCATTTTCCCAGAAAGATGCAGGTCACGAAAGCCCTTCTTATTTCATTCAACAGCATCTTTACAATTGAGGACACAAGCTCAGCAACATTTTCCAGCTGCCAAAAATTTATCACTGCATTGTTTGAAAATGTAGGAGAGTGGGTCAGATGGCATGACTTATAACTTTAAGATGAAATGGTAAAAACACTTGGTAAGATCCCACTGTGGAAGTAGTGTGTTGAAATTGCCCACGAATATCTAGCAACTTATTCAATCCACTATATATATTTTTTATTCTGATATACTACAAAGACAAATCATGGCCAGATTTTTTTTAAATACACACCAAAATCAATATTCTGTCAACTTACAACAGATAATTAAGTAATTATGAAAAGAAAAACTGCAGTAACTGAAATGCACTCTGTCCGCCTATCTGGCATGAAAAAGCACTCTGTAGCCCCTACTGTTTTGCCAAGCCAATCTCAAATCTTAACACCATTAGACAGAGCCTTTTCTTTAGGCAGACAGTGTGATTTTTAAATACCACCTGTAAGTCCCAAATGCCCACAGTGAGATTTAACCTTTGGCACACCTTATTAAACCAACAGTGCCCCTTTAGTAAAAAATGTAACAAATAAGAGGAAACCTAAGAGGAGACCAGAAATTTTGATAATTAATAAGTAATCAGGCTTGTAACAAAACCATTGGGAAGAAGGGGGGGGGGGGGGAAAATGGATTGTAAATGGACATACTTCCCTCAAAGCTTTGATTTTAATTTAAGAAAGCTAATGTAAGTGAGCAATAATGTAGTATATCTGCTTAACAAAACAATGGCTGATGGTCATTACCTACAGAATAACCTTAGAAAGCCTGTCAAATAATTGGGCTAACTTCTTTTGTAAATGACTGGTCTGCCCTTTAACACTGAAAAACATTATGATATAATTACCTCCGATGGTACCATAACATTAACATTTTTCAGTCATAACATACAATATTTCTATTGACATACATTATCAATGGTGCTATTTTGACTGAGTGTAAAATATCAACAAAACAGAGGACAGAAACAACAATCTGGTATCTTCTTTTTGTTTTTGGAAGACCAAAGGCGCCAATCCTAGACTATAAGCAAATTACTTGAGTGCATAATCTTGCTGTAATCAAAATATATAACATACTACAAGAGGTAAGGACACTGATAATGTTAGGTTTTTGTCTATAATAGTTATGATAAGGCTTTTCTTTTTACTATTATTAATTCTTTTATGAATCTCATAGTGGTGTTATTCAATAAATAAAAATGATGTGCTAAAAAGAATAAATGATATGAAAGGACCTAATGTAGGCAGATAATAATCATTATCTATATTTTTTTTCAATTTTTATATTAAAAATCCATTTTAGTCATCTCCTTAATCATCCTATTTAATTCCATTTTAAGAACTCAGCTTATGAGCATTACTCCATCTAGCTGGACCATTCCATTTTACAGTAAGGAGAGCCTTTTCTATCTGTGTCAAAGAGAATAATCAACAATGACATGCCTGCTGTACAAACTGACACAAAACATGCATTTTGGTACAAAAAAAGGAACTTGATCTCCACTGCCTTGGCTAGCACAACACTCAACCACAACATCCAAGAATAAACCAAGTTCTTTATCACACTGCTGCAGCCAGGAAACAAATGGCTATGTTACTTAGGAATATCTTCTAACTTGTGAAATGCTCATTTCCTGGTATCCATTATCGTCTGATGAAGGCGGTAAACTAGCAATGGTAAAAAAAAAAAAAAAAAAAAAAATTAGCTTGTGTTCGGTAACCTTAGCATTATTTTTACTATATGATCCAACTACCAAGCTGATGAACATTGTTGCGCATACATACACAAAAAACTTTGCATGTTCCGATATTCTGAAGACTGTAGGAGCCAAGTTCAAAATTGACTGCTGCTCTGAGTGCCTGATATTCCGTGGGTAGAGGGTCCATGATTCCAAATGCTTTTTACTCCGAAAGAGGTTATTGAAGCGATAGCTGTGCTTAAATGCAATGGTATCACTTGCATGTGCAGAGAAGCACTTTTAACTATTTTATGCTCTATCATTTAGTGTATGGATTTCATGTGCAATAACCTGTTTCCTATTTTGAATATACACATATAAACATGGATCCTTGTACTATTATTTTATTTCTATCGTTTGCCTGTTATTTCCCAACATGTGCGTTAGAGGAGTATATATATCAGGTATATAGAGCAAATTCTTGATAGTAGTACAAACAGCATACATTTAATTCCTGATTTCATGTGCAATAACCTGTAACTATATAACTATATAATACATTTAATTCCTGATGCTGCTAAAAAGTTATGAAAAAAAATCAGGTTTCTTAGTTTTCACATGTGTACACAGGACATTAACTCCCAGCCTACGTTTAAATGTTATGTGCAATTTACAAACATAAATAAAACTGAAAGAAATCCATTTAGCAAGGAATATCTTGTCATCAGTTACGGTCAAGCGATATACCTAAATGATATTAAAACAAAATCATGTATTGCGAATGTGATGGTGATATATTCAGGAAAAATATGGTAATGTGGAAAATTAACAGTCTGTATTCATGGCAGTAGGTGTTTAGGATGAGAAACCCATAGTTTTAAAGAGTTAATCTAATCTATAACAGCGAGTAACTTCATCAGATATCTAACAAGATAACAGTTTATTTAATTCGACGTAATTCACGCAGGATTATTAATTAAGTTAAACTTTAAAATTTAAATATTAGTCCAATCTGACTTAAAATATAGGCTAAAGGTAAAATCTAAGGTCATATTCTAAATCTTCATATATTACCCCATTCACACTACAGTTGCAAAAATGCGCATTTCTATAATCCAAATTTTTCGTGAGGAATTCGATTCGGTATTGCGTTCACACACGCTAAGCGAAACCAAATTACATGTTAAAAATTTCAGGTTTAACTTCCTGTTTTGAACGCTCGCGCATGCGCCGCACAAGAAATCTTAAAATATCAACAAAAATTTGTGATGACAAATGCAACTCTAAAGACATTCCAGCATTCTTGAGAAGTATAAGATGGCAAAATAAGTTTGTTTCCTCATGTTGTAGTGAGTGGTGACCTCCAAATACGTTTGGTGCAATTGCTAAAGTAATAAACAAGCATTCATAGATACCCGCACTTATCTGCACACATGCGCAGTTAGATCTGTACAGATGTCGATTCCGGTAAGTTATCCGGATCGCGCTTATAAATCCACCTTGCTTGCAGGATTTTGAAAATGCGCATTACAAAAATCCTCTTGCGTTCACACTACTGCATTTATTCGAATTGTGACCTAATTCGCAATTTATCCGGATAACTGAGCGTAGTGTGAACGGGGTATATGACTTTTGGTCAGAATTCTATAGTAACTTTTCCCATAATTCCTTTGATTTGGGAAATATTTAGCATTTAATTTTCAAAATGTGCGAAAAAAAAGTATTACTTCTGGAAAAATGGTCTGATCAAGCTGATTTTTAAACCTGACCTGTATGTTACTAATATTCATCAGTGGTGTACGTTTGAAGGCAAAAGGTCAAATGGTTTTCCTCTTATCATGTTTTCTCTAAAAGTACACAGCAATGCTGATGCCACCCCTGACATTGACTATATTGACATTGACCCCTCCATGTGCAGACCCTATATGTCTGTATATAAAAAAATGTTTTTTTACGGAAAATGACTCGATATTTATCTACCTTCTATTTCGTGCTGGTATTTTTCATCATCCCCTTAGATCAATCACACATAAATTCATATGGGTAAGTACAAATCAAATACAAGTAAATGCTTTCATAGAATTATTCATTTTTAATTTGTTACATAATATCATCGGATAGAGAAATTTTGTAAAGATAAACAGTCAAGTTGGCATCACTTATTTAATGGAGAGAAGTATATCATATGAAGAGATGGAGAGCACATGTAATGAAAGTGAACTGCCAACTACAAGTCAGTGTAAGAAGAATGTCAAGTGGCAGGATGAATGTTTGCACTCATTGCAAAGAACTGATGAGCTAGCTACTGCTGTTAAATTCAGTCCTGGCACCGCATGTGTTTTTGTGTGATTTTTCTTTTTGATCTTTCATGACAAATGAAAGGGAAAGCTAAACTGGATGATAAATTGACAATCTGGAATAAACCAAGCCTGCTAACTGGAAAGGAACTTTCCAACACTTGTTTATGGATAGAAACCATTCTTCACAGCAAGCACTGCACATTCTAACATATTGATCCTGGACACTGCTTACAACTAATTTAAGGTTAAATTTTTCTAAAGAAACTAAAACGGAAGTAACCAGAGCCCTGCCGCTGCAATAGTTTCTTTGATTTATTGAAACATCTTGAAGTAAGAGCTATATATCTGTGCTGGATGTCAAGATCCACACTGGGCATGTCTCAAGTCATATGGGTTATAAAGCGTGGGAATGGGATGAACTTTCCCCCTGTTTATATACACGGACTCCATTTCCTACATTACAGAGCTCATGTTTTCAATGTTTGCACCACTGTTAGTTCCGTCTTTTTAGAACTCCCATATTCAGTTCATTCCCCATTTTATATGTGTGTGTGCATGCGTGCGTGCACATGTTATAATGTTTGTATGTATGAATGTACGTATGGAATCACTCTGGCATATTTTACCCACCTCAACCAGGGCCTCTTGTTTGGCAAACTCATGTGACTAGCTTCAGAAGAATATTTCTGTTCAATGCAACTCAAGGGGCCCTTCTCCAGTCTGGCTCCCGTTAACCTCCAAGGACTCCTGTTGCTAGGAGACAGTGATACTGGCAAGCCTCATGCATGATACCTTCAGCAACCTATTCCTGATTTTCCTCATTATTTAACCTTTCCTACTGATAGATAGCTCTGAAGTTCACCTTGCAGGGATGATAGACCAGGTATGTCAGTGGCAAATGCTCTTTCATCAGACTGTTTCTACCAGGGGCCTTCTGTCAAAGTAAAATAAACAGAATTATAAATGAATATTTCACAATGTATTTTTCAGCAATCAATCTTTTTTGAGGTTTCTCTCTGTAGGTTATGCAGCATTTTTTATTTTCAAGATGAATGAGATTTGATGACTGCCACAAAAATGCACTAAACATTTTCTGTCGATTTTGATTCAATATTAATGTTAAAGAGCATATGTAACATTTTTTTTCTAAATATGTGGGCCAACAAAAAATACATTTTCTAAAATAATAAATATACATTCAGATTGATCACACCAATCATACAGTACTGTTTGAGCCTACTAATTTTCATTACATACCACTGTTGCTGTGGACTTTCAGAAAATGAAACTTGCACAGGGCTTCATACCCAGGAGAACTCAAAGTCAGTCAGACAAGGAAAATGCCATACTGTAATAAAAAATGAAAATTTCATTAAAAAAGACTTCATAATATCTCCCAAAACAATCCCATCAGGCTCGTTTCTGCCCATGAACTGTAATGTAGTCCTGTGAATAATATCTGTAGGTTTGAATAGAATAGGTAGTACATTTTTTCTTTTATTGTGTTAACAAGCAATAGTGCATAGCAACAGTGACAGCAAGGGCAGCCCAAGGTGCTGGCTATGTGTCCAGAAACATTTTGTCTGTCCATAAAAAGGAATATAGTATTTTAAATAAACATGTCGAAACTCCCAACCATTAATCTTTGTATACAAGGAAGTGGTACGTAATAACAGGCTGAGACTATTGTTGCTCTGGAGGCATTCTTTTTAAAAGTTAACATAATGGAACCAAAACACAACAGTTAAATCAACTGTAAGCTAGAGGGAATCCACTATCTCACACTTGAAAAAAAATTACAAAAGACTAATGAAAAATAAACCCATTTATTATAATGTTAGTTCCAAACATCATTTAAATATTATGCAATTCTTACAATATTGTGTCACATACTAGTTCACTTATTTCACTTTCCATTATTTCATTATTGTAACACAAACAAGTGAATGAAACGGCAAGTGTTTAGATATATTGTGGCCTTTATCTATGCAGTAATGTCCTAATATACTTCTTTATCCTCATCATAATCTATGTTTTCTTGGTGAGGTCAGGCATGTCACAATGAATGAATAAATCAGTGTACCACAGTAGCCATCATAATCTGACAAGGTATCATAAATGGTATGACAGACTTGAGACATTAAAGAAGAGCATCAGTGGCGGGCCAACACTGAAACAATTATGACATTTTAAAGTGTTGTTCTGTCCTTTATATGCAGATTTTGTAAATTTGTTCTTTTTTGAACTATTATGTGTGTTACCACACTCTGGAGCTTTTCATTTCCATCATTCAAAATGTGAAATAAAGTTTGGAATTCGATTGTGAGAAATTAAAAGTTGTATAACATATATAAGAATATGCAAGAGGAACAGAAATTCTATCAATTCTCTTGTGGATTCCTTTAAATAACGTCTAGGATAATATGTGTTTTTCTAGTATATGTTTGCTATTTTTGGCAATTACTTTGTTTACAAGTTCTGTGAGGTCATTAATTTTTTTTCAGGCTTATGACTGTCACATGTTTAAAACAATGTTTTTGCAGGAGGTATGACGTCAGAACACAAATCACTTCTTCCACCATCCTAATGCATGCCACAAATGAATAACACCACACAGCCGCTGTTACCTATGGCTTGTGTCATTTAACCAGGGGGTAAATCCTATACAATTCCATTTATTTTTAGCTCTGGAAAATCCAACCACATTTTCGGTGGTTGTTGTTGCTAGGAAACCAAAGAACAAATCTTTGCTGGGTACATACTCTGAATGCGAAAACATTTACACATGGGTGCTATTTACCAGCCTAGGTCTTTCCCCAACCAGATCAAATACTGATGATAAATGGAAGTCAATATTTATGAGGAACCCCACAATCAGCTGATCTAGACTTTATCTTGGTCACAAAACACTCATTGTACTCAACAAGTGCTGAATGAGACTCTACAGATACATCAAGGATTTGTCACCTACCATCTGTATTAAATCATAGGGGTACAGTCTATAAATATAATTATGGCTTTTCTTAAATTACTCACCAGAACAAAATTTAGCAAGAGGGAACGGCATCATATGACACCGAGCTAATGACAAGGTTTCCAGTTTAGAAACAGGATCTTACCAACCCATACACCCACCACCTGTGAAATAATTTAGAAGAAAATAATATGGAAGGGGGAGTTGAACTCTTCCTAAGTGTTATCATCTTATGAAGTTTTCCATCTACTGTAAAGCCAAAAATAAGCATCTAACATAGCCTAAAGAGGGGTTTAAAATATATTAAATCTACACTGGAGAACATGCTCAAGAAAAAGCACCTCTCCACTTAAGGATTGGAAATGGAATATTTGATATCATATTTGTACTCTGTAAGATTCACATGCAAATCAAGTAAATATTTGTTTCCTCTCAGTTGTTGACTCATATTATGGTGGCTGGCCAATAGATGTTTCAGACTTTATGCTTTTCAACATAGTACACCTCATGAAGAGAACATAACATAGGTAGATCTTTAAAAAAATATTAAGAAATGTTTAAAGGCCACAGATGTGTCTTGTACTTCATTCTTTGTGGTAAAATACTAAAATTTGTGGCATTTCATACAAAGAAAATAGTGATTATTTGTCAGTTCTTTCAAACTATAGTAAAACAAATGTTATCCAACATTCATAGTGTCCCAAACATGAAGAACAAACGTCATCCCTTTTTCTTAACACTGTTAACCAGTCCACTATATAAAAAAGACAAAAGGACTGTAAATCAAACATGACAGCTGACCAGATTTAGCAGAATATTAATTGATGCATAAATATTAATGGTTAAGACTAAGAATGCTCTTACGAAACTGCTTCATAAAGAAGCTAAAATAATTTTGACCCAAATAAATCATCAACAAGCACAGGATTATTCAACTTTTTCTCTTAGACGGTATGAGCTTAAAGGAATTATTTTGATGAAATTTGAGAGTACTGACTGATGGTACATGGAGCCATTAAGTATGGCTTGAAGACACCTTTGTGTTAGGTAACAAAGTGATTATTACAAGGCAGTTTTATTACACTTATGCAATTCCAATTATACATACCCTAGAGAAATGAGAATACACTGCACCATCATTACCAAAAAGAATGCTTATACATATATGTGGTTAAAGCTCACAGTATACCAACTGTCACAAAATCTGGGCAGCTTCTTTAAAAAGTTTGCTAAGAAGAAGGATGTCAACTTGTCTAAACATATGTTGATAGTAATGTCTAGCATATTTTATAGAATTCCCTTAATGTTGTAAGCTTCCCTTTTGATTTGGTTCCAGTTTCAACAACTTACACTTATACCACAGCTCTGTGTTTTACATGTAAAATAATGTTCATTTACTGTGGAACATAAATTTTTATCCTGTTAAAAAAATAAAATAACCTTGACCCACAAGTTGGAGAGTGTATTTACCATCAGACTATCTTATCAAAATGCAATCATAAAGTATATTGCTGCACCTTTCTGTGCACACAAAACGTTTTCAATCATCGTCACAAGTAAATATTTGTCAGGAAGTGTATAAATATAGATTTCCATACTCAATAAGTAGAGATCTTATACATGAATTATCAAAAGAGAAATTTAACAGCTTATTCTATTGTCTGCTGCAATAAATTCCCTGTATTTTCACTATTAATTGATAATGACAGTTAAATCTTTTGTTCCAGAAGTCTAATAGTATAAGTTCTTCCCTTAATTAAGATTTTTACGCTCTTGAGTTTTAAATCCCCCCCCCCCCCCCACNTAATTTCCTAAAGTGGGTGACGCCCATAGTGCCAAAAATAATTAATAATAAATTAACTTACAGAACTGATTATTTAAAGCGATTTAAGATGTTTATGTCCATAAGGATAAACTTTCAATGCGCAGTTTTAACAAATTCAAATGGTACGGATGGAAGAAGAGAACTTTTTAAACTCGTTTATTTAAAAAAAAGGCCACTGCTCGTCACGTTTCATAACAAGCACAATGGGTGATGGGTAGCCGACTTCTTCGGCGCAGCAAACCCTCGGCGCAGCGACCCTTTCGGCACAGCGAACCAGATCCTTTCGGCACAGCGAACCTTCGGCATAGCGAACCTTTGATTTTGGGGCTCCGGAAAAACTTAGCCGATTTTAGACCAATTTTCCAGTTTTGTCGGCACAGCGAACCCTCGGCACAGCAAACCCTCGGCACAGCGCTGACCCCTTTCTTAACACTGTTAACCAGTCCACTATATAAAAAAGACAAAAGGACTGTAAATCAAACATGACAGCTGACCAGATTTAGAAGAATATTAATTGATGCATAAATATTAATGGCTAAGACTTAGAATGCTCTTACGAAACTGCTTCATAAAGAAGCTAAAATAATTTTGACCCAAATAAATCATCAACAAGCACAGGATTATTCAACTTTTTCTCTTAGATGGTATGAGCTTAAAGGAATTATTTTGATGAAAATTGAGAGTACTGACTGATGGTACATGGTGCCATAAAGTATGGCTTGAAGACACCTTTGTGTTAGGTAACGAAGTGATTATTACAAGGCAGTTTTATTACACTTATGCAATTCCAATTATACATACCCTAGAGAAATGAGAATACACTGCACCATCATTACCAAAAAGAATGCTTATACATATATGTGGTTAAAGCTCACAGTATACCAACTGTCACAAAATCTGGGCAGCTTCTTTAAAAAGTTTGCTAAGAAGAAGGATGTCAACTTGTCTAAACATATGTTGATAGTAATGTCTAGCATATTTTATAGAATTCCCTTAATGTTGTAAGCTTCCCTTTTGATTTGGTTCCAGTTTCAACAACTTACACTTATACCACAGCTCTGTGTCTTACATGTAAAATAATGTTCATTTACTGTGGAACATAAATTTTTATCCTGTTAAAAAAATAAAATAACCTTGACCCACAAGTTGGAGAGTGTATTTACCATCAGACTATCTTATCAAAATGCAATCATAAAGTATATTGCTGCACCTTTCTGTGCACACAAAACGTTTTCAATCATCGTCACAAGTAAATATTTGTCAGGAAGTGTATAAATATAGATTTCCATACTCAATAGGTAGAGATCTTATACATGAATTATCAAAAGAGAAATTTAACAGCTTATTCTATTGTCTGCTGCAATAAATTCCCTGTATTTTCACTATTAATCGATAATGACAGTTAAATCTTTTGTTCCAGAAGTCTAATAGTATAAGTTCTTCCCTTAATTAAGATTTTTACGCTCGAGTTTTAAATCCCCCCCCCCACACACACANTTTAAATCCCCCCCCCACACACACACACACACACAAACACACACATTTCTCA